GCCTTCTCGCTGTTTGCTCTTGTGAACTTTCCCTTGAAATGTTTGTATATTCTCTGCCACCCATTACTGTCCAACTCAACATGAATGTATCCTTTTCATACAAGACTGAAAAGACTTATTTTTCCATTTTCGATATAAAATATGCGTTAAGACGGTTTTATCTTCTTTGAATTTTATAAAGTTTAAACCAGCCACTCTCAACTAGGGCTTCGTGGAACCCTAAGGTTCCTCCAGAGGTTGACTAGAGGTTCCATGAGATGTGACTGATCGACCTCCCATCTGATGGTGCCTGCATAGTTCTGGGGACAATGCCATTTGGCAGAGCCAGCAGCATGTCACCCGTGATCCTTTTAGCTGTCTGTAAGAGTATCAGTCTGACCACAAATGTAAGGGACATTCATCCCACTGGCTACAAATGTAAAAATCATTCTTCTAAATTACAAATGTAAGGGACAGTCTTCCCACCGACCGCTAATGTAAGGAGCATTGCCACCACTGATCTCCAATGTAAGAAGCGTTCTTCCCGCTGACCACCAATGTAAGGAGCATTCTTCCCACTGATCACCAATGTAAGGAGCATTCTTCCCACTGATCACCAATGTAAGAAGCGTTCTTCCCACTGACCACCAATGTAAGGAACATTCTTTCCACTGATCACCAATGTAAGGAGCATTCTTCCCACTGACCACCAATGTAAGGGACATTCTTCTTACTGACCACCAATGTAAGGGACATTCTTCCCACTGATCACCAATGTAAGGAGCATTCTTCCCACTGACCACCAATGTAAGGGACATTCTTCCCACTGATCACCAATGTAAGGCGCATTCTTCCCACTGGCTACCAATGTAAGGAACATTCTTCCCACTGACCACCAATGTAAGGAGCATTCTTCTTACTGACCACCAATGTAAGGGACATTCTTCCCACTGACCACCAATGTAAGGAGCATTCTTCCCACTGACCACCAATGTAAGGAGCATTCTTCCCACTGACCACCAATGTAAGGGACATTCTTCCCACTGATCACCAATGTAAGGCGCATTCTTCCCACTGACCACCAATGTAAGGAACATTCTTCCCACTGACCACCAATGTAAGGAGCATTCTTCCCACTGACCACCAATGTAAGGGACATTCTTCCCACTGACCACCAATGTAAGGGACATTCTTCCCACTGATCACCAATGTAAGGAGCATTCTTCTCACTGATCACAAATGTAAGGGACATTCTTCCTACTGGCCACCAATGTAAGGGTCATTCTTCCTACTGACCACCAATGTAAGGAACATTCTTCCCACTGATCACCAATGTAAGGGACATTCTTCCCATTGGCCATCAATTTCAGGGCCAGCTTTCCCACGGACAAATGTTAGAGGCATTCTTCCCAAATGAATGGTTTCATCAAGTATACCTCTGGAGTATAAAGGTTGGCAAAGGCTGATTTAAACAAATTTGTATTACTCTGAAATGTAACAGGTGGAAGGTTGTGAAATCTTCCATGGTGGGCAACATTTATCAACTTTATTTTCCCATGAACTTTTCAAATGTCTGCAGAGGTCTTTGGTCCAATTACCAGAATTAATGCATTAGAGAGTAAGCTTCTGTAATATAGAGTTCTATATTGAAGAGGCATTGAAGCAAGAAATGGTCCATCATCTCCTCCACCCCACCACACTCCAATCTTGGACAATCACGGTTCTCCACAGAGTGATGCTTCCGGTTGCCCTTCACATAGAGTCTGCCATGGAACGATCGCCGGGCCCAATCCTGAAGCTCTAAAGGCATTCTCTCCAGATTCATCAAACACAGACCCTCCCTCATAACAGGGCCTGAGCAATCCCTCAAGGCCAATGACTTGTTAAAGGAAAATTCAACAACCCTCCTCTCCAGTGCCTTCCTAGGAAGAGACTTAATTTCAGTCATTCACCACTGCCAAAGCATTTTCAGGCATGGGGCTACGTAAGCTGGGAGCTCATCATGTTGAACCCTCAGGCTTTTCACTGACCCAAGGCCTATACCCTCAGATTGTAAGCTCCTCTGGTGCAGAAACTGATGTGACTGGCTCAGTGGTCTTGGTACACCTTGCTAGTACCGGGTTGGACCCCCTTTTGACTTCACAACTGCCTTCATTCTTCATGGCATAGATTCAACAAGGTGTTGGAAACATTCCTCAGAGATTTTGGTCCATACTGACATGAGTTACTGTTACCTTTCTATCATCTCCAACCAGTCTGCCCATTCTCCTCCAACCTCTGACCTCAACAAGGCATTTCCCTCCACACAACTGCCGCTCACTGGATATTTTCTCTTTTTCGGATCATTCTCTGTAAACCCTAGAGATGGTTGTGTGTGAAAACCCCAGTAGATCAGCAGTTTTTGAAATACTCAGACCAGCCTGTCTGGCACCAACAACCATGCCACGTTAAAAGTCTCTGTAATCCCCTTTCTTCTCCGTTCTGATGCTTGTTTTGAACTTCAGCAAGTTGTCTTCACCACGTCTAGATGCATTGAGGTGCTGCCATGCGATTGGCTGATCAGCAGTTTGTGTTACCAAGCACTTGAACAGGTGTACCTAATAAAGTGGCCGGTGAGTGTATCCAAATGTATAATAATAATAGTGTGAGAATGTGGAGGACATTAGAGTGTAAGCTCTTCTGGTGCAGCGAGTGATGTGACTGGCGTAATGTTTTCTGTACAACACTGCATGATATGTCAGAACTTTATAAAGGTATAGCAACAATAGTGTGTAGATGTGATGGACATTAGGGTGTAAGCTCTTTGTGGTACAGAGACTGATGTGACTGTGGGGGAGGGGACATCAGAGTGTAAGCTCTTCTGGTACAGAGACAGATGTGACTGTGGGGGAGGGGACATTAGAGTGTAAGCTCCTCTGTTACAGAGACTGATGTGACTGGCTCAGTGTTCTCTGTACAGCACTGCAGTATATGTCAGAGCTATATAAATGTATAATAATAGTGTGTGACTGTGGGGGGAGGGGACATTAGAGTGTAAGCTCCTCTGGTATAGAGACTGATGTGACTGTGGGGGAGGGGACATTAGAGTGTAAGCTCCTCTGGTACAGAGACTGATGTGACTGGCTCAGTGCTCTCTGTACAGCACTGCAGTATATGTCAGAGCTATATAAATGTATAATAATAGTGTGTGACTGTGGGGGGAGGGGACATTAGAGTGTAAGCTCCTCTGGTATAGAGACTGATGTGACTGTGGGGGGAGGGGACATTAGAGTGTAAGCTCCTCTGGTATAGAGACTGATGTGACTGTGGGGGAGGGGATATTAGAGTGTAAGCTCCTCTGGTATAGAGACTGATGTGACTGTGGGGGGAGGGGACATTAGAGTGTAAGCTCCTCTGGTGCAGAGACTGATGTGATTAGGGGGGAGGGGACATTAGAGTGTAAGCTCCTCTGGTACAGAGACTGATGTGACTGTGGGGGAGGGGACATTAGAGTGTAAGCTCCTCTGGTGCAGAGACTGCTGTGACTGGCTCAGTGTTCTCTGTACAGCACTGCGGTATATGTCAGAGCTATATAAATGTATAATAATAGTGTGTGACTGTGGGGGAGGGGACATTAGAGTGTAAGCTCTCCGGTTCAGATACTGATGTGAATGGGGGAGGTGACATTAGAGTGTACAGCTCTGCGGTATATGTCAGATATATAAATGTGAATAGTGCTCAGTGATTGTGGGGAGCACTGGGTATATGTTAGAGTGTATAGCTAAATGTATACAATAGACTGTGTGTGACTGTGGGGGAGGGGACATTAGAGTGTAAGCTCCTCTGGTACAGAGACTGATGTGACTGTTTGGGAGGGGACATTAGAGTGTAAGCTCCTCTGGTTCAGATACTGATGGCTCAGTGTTCTCTGTACAGCACTGCGGTATATGTCAGAGCTATTTGCTGTAAATGTATAATCATAGCAAATCACAGGGTGAGCTGTGCGGGTGACACCAGTTTCCTTGAAGTGACATACTTCAGTGCGGTCAGATCTGCACACTAGCCATGTTGGAACATCTGCTGAGTGAATTGGGAATACGGTAACCTGCTCTCCCCTTTAGGAGCCTTCTGTCACCTGTGTCTGACTCAGCAACAGATTGTGCTGACGCACCGCGCACGCCTGAAAAAAGGCAAGCCGTAAATATTGGCAGCATATCCCTTTTGTGATGCAAAAAGGAAAAGCTGCCCAGATGAAGTTAGTTTGAAAGGCTAAAAAGTTCGACCTTTGTTTTTTTTACGGTGATTCTGAAGTATTAAACAACATAAAAGTACAACAAATGGCAGGACGGGGCTCTCAAGGGGCAACAAAGGGCAATAATGGAGAATTATGCAAAACCATGCCCAGAAAACCAAACCAGGTGGTCAGAGAATCCAAGCTTAGAAAAAGGTGAAAAAAATTTAAAAAGCTGCAAAAAAAATATTGCTTAATAATAGCTTATTTTTAGAGCTAGCGACATCATAACAGAGTCTCTGTGCTTTTCTATGAAATAGAAGCAGATCATCATTTTTGCTGTTATGTCAGCCAGTTTGGTGGCCCCTTTAAGTTGTCCAGCAGAACGTTGCTACCTCGCCGCTTCTCATCTACATGTACATAGCTTCCTGGAGACATCACAACACTCGGCCTCAGTACTCCTTTTAAGAGCCCTTGGCTCAGCAGTGGGCTGGCTTTGGGAGGAGTTATGCAAATATCAAAATGGCTTGATGGGCCGATGTCATTCTAAAGGAGTGGGCATTCCTGAACAAGTGCTTTATGTAATGCCCACATACGATGCTGAGCCCCCATGCTAGAGGACACTGAAATCCAATGAAGGAATGGGACGGTTAGGCTAGGGAGGAAAGTGCTAGATGATGTTGGGCATCCTCAAGCAGGAGATGAGGCGGAGCTTTATCTGACTGGCTGCAGCTTCTAATGCACATTGTGAGAAGCTCAGAGTGTGCAGTGACATCAGAGTAAACGATTTCAGTCCAGGAGAGGAGGCAGTACACCTGTGCAAGACTGAAGGGGAGGAGCCGGTACACCTGTGCAAGACTGAAGGGGAGGAGCCGGTACACCTGTGCAAGACTGAAGGGGAGGAGCCGGTACACCTGTGCAAGACTGAAGGGGAGGAGCCAGTACACCTCTGCAAGACTGGAGGAGAGGAGCCGGTACACCTGTGCAAGACTGAAGGGGAGGAGCCGATACATCCAGGGGCTGACTGACCATTTGGGAACTCGGGCACTGCCCGAGGGCCCAGGGTCAGTAGGGGGCCCCATGAGATGCCCCTGGTACCTTTCATAGGCTTTTTTGGGTGTGGTTTGAGTGTGGGTAAAGACATAGGGGCCCCATTATCCCCTATTGCCCGGGGGCCCCATGAGTTGTCAGTCCATCACTGGGTACACCTGACTGCAAGACTGAAGAGGAGGAGCCGGTACACCTGTGCAAGACTGGAGGGGAGGAGCCGGTACACCTGTGCAAGACTGGAGGGGGAGGAGCTGGTACACCTGTGCAAGACTGGAGGGGAGGAGCCGGTACACCTGTGCAAGACTGGAGGGGAGGAGTCGGTACCACCTGTGCAAGACTGAAGGGGAGGAGCCGGTACACCTGTGCAAGACTGGAAGAGAGGAGCCAGTATACCTGTGAAAGACTGAAGGGGAGGTGCCGGTACAACCTGTGCAAGACTGAAAGGGAGGATCCGGTACACCTGTGCAAGACTGAAGGGGAGGCGGTACACCTGTGCAAGACTGAAGGGGAGGAGCCGGTACACCTGTGCAAGACTGAAGGGGAGGAGCTGGTACACCTGTGCAAGACTGAAGGGGAGGAGCTGGTACACCTGTGCGGATAAAAGACTGGAGGGGAGGAGGAGCCGGTACACCTGTGCAAGACTGAAGGGGAGGAGCCGGTACACCTGTGCAAGACTGAAGGGGAGGCTGGTGTTCAGCTTTATTCATTTAAAGTAGATATGAACCCAAACCACTATAATCTCATACAAACTGTAAAATGGTAATATAATCCCAAAGAAATGCATGTTCCGTCTTATTAATGAAGACCTTCCACCTACCCATGTACAATTTTCCCTAATTCCCCTGTCCCCCTTTCGCTGTTGTAGTGACAGCCAGGTCGGTGGCCCCCTTTAAGCCTTCCAGCAGAACATTGCATATTCACCCCTGCTCATCTCTTGTGAGGACCATTGAGAGGCTGTCCACAAGGTTTAGGAGGGTGTCTATGGGAAGGTTGGACCATTCTTCCAGAAGCACATTTGTCAGGTCAGGCACTGATGTCGGGGGAGGGGGCCTGGCTCACAGTCTCCGCTCTAATTCATCCCAAATGTGTTCTATGGGGTTGAGGTCAGGACTCTGTGCAGGACAGTCAAGTTCCTCCACCCCAAACTGGCTCCTCCATGTCTTTATGGACCTTGCTTTGTGCACTGGTGGGCAGTCATGTTGGAACAGGAAGGGGCCGTCCCCAAACTCTTCCCACAAAGTTGGGAGCATGAAATTGTCCAAAATGTCTTGGTATGCTGACACCTTAAAGTGGAGTTTCATGCAAACGTGGAAGCTCCATTTCTATGCCTCCTCCTTCCCCTCCACTGCCACATTTGGGCCCTTTTTGGGGGGGAAGAAGGTACCTGGTTTTAAAAAAAAAAGGTACCCACTCCCAGCAAACTGAGATGGAAGTTCGGCACCCCCCCACAGCTCTCTGGGACATTTCCAAGGTCCCAGAGGACTGCAGCCCATTCATAAAGCGCAGCGCACTTTGTGCATGTGCAGTAGGAAACTAGGGAAACTGCAAGGCTTCAGTTTCCATTAGTTGAGATAGTGGCGCCAGCACCCGACAGTCGACTGGGGGTGAGGACACTTCTGATTGCATGGACAGGTAAGTGTTCTACATTTAAAAGTCAGCAGCCACATTATTTGTAACTGCTGAACTTTTCAATTTTTTTTTTTTTTTTGAGGGGGGGGGGGGGAGGTTGCGGAGGCCAGAACTCTGCTTTAAGAGTTCCCTTCACTGGAACTAGGGGGCCAAGCTAAATCCTTGAAAAACAATCCCACACCATAAACCCCCCACCAAAGTTTAGACTTGGCACAATGCAGTCAAACAAGTACCGTTCTCCTGGTAACCACCAAACCAGAACCGTCCATTGGATTGCCAGACAGAGAACCGTGATTGGTCACTCTAGAGAACACGTCTCCCCTGCTCTAGAGTCCAGTGGCGGCGTGCTTTACACCACGGCATCCGACGCTTTGCATTGCACTTGGTGATGGAAGGCTTGGATGCAGCTGCTCGGCCATGGAAACCCATTCCATGAAGCTCTCTATGCACTGTTGTTGGGCTCATCTGAAGGCCACACCAAGTTTGGAGATCTTTAGCTATTGACTCTGCAGACAGTTGGAGACTTCTGCGCACTGTGCGCTTCAGCATGCGCTGACCCCGCCCTGTCATGTGACGTGGCCTACCACTTGGTGGCTGAGTTGCTGTTGTTCCCAATTGCTTCCACTTTGTTATAATCCCCCACTAACAGTTGAGCGTGGAATATTTAGTAGCCGGGAAATGTCGCGGATGGACTTATTGCACAGGTGGACAACCTATCACGGGACCACGCTTGGAGTCACTGAGCTCCTGAGAGCGACCCATTCTTTCACCAATGTTTGTAGAAGCAGTCTGCATGCCTAGGGGCTTGATTGTATACACCTGTGACCATGGAGGGGATTGGAACACCTGAATCACATGATGTGGAGGGGATTGGAACACCTGAATCCAATGATGTGGAGGGGATTAGAGCACCTGAATCCAATGATGTGGAGGGGGGATTGGAACACCTGAATCCAATGATGTGGAGGGGATTGGAGGCCTGAATAATTTGGAGGGGATTGGAAACACCTGATACGTTGATGTGAGGGCGGGGCCAAAACTTTTGAAATATCCTGTATCGTTAATGTGACATTTACAAACCTAAAGCCCCCGGAAAAGGGATGACGCCAGTGTTATCTCTCGCCTGGCATGGCTCTGAAGCACAAACTGCCACCAACTTCATCCGGCTGACTTTCGTCTTTTTCGCTGTTTTGCAAACTAAACTGCGAATTTCTGACTTGTCACCGAGAAGGTCAGCGCTTTATGAAAACTCGGCGAGTGCGCTGGATTCGCAGTAATTTGCTTACTTAAAATCATCATCTCCGTCTGTTCAGCTTCTGCTCACCAAAACACGAGTCATAAATCACATTTTAATCAGAATGGAAATGCCAGCATTCACTCCAGGTGAGTCTTTTAAATGCAAAGGCTTTTTTTTTTTTTACTTCCCTTTAATGTTCCAAAATCTCTTTATTTTTAGACTGGAAGGTGCCGAGTTCCTCCAAAATAACATAACTTTGGGTATCGGATTATCGCGGGGCTCTGAGCGCGCCTCGCTTAGGACTCCTGTGATTGAAAGTGTTTAAGGCGATGTTACTTAATTGAAGAAATGTGATTGCAAAGTATTAGCCACCTAGCAATTCATGAGGCAGAATTATGTTTACAAAGCTATGGGGGGGGATTAATCATTTATGCCCTTAATTCTGCTCTTTTCTTTAAAAATTGGATAACCTTTTCATAAATAAATGGTCTGAGCAAAGCCTTGATCTTGGCAAGACATGAAAAAGGTGGAAATGTAAAGGCAAAACTAGTGCCAGGAAATTAACTTCATTTCACATGCGAAGCATAATGGATAATGAGGCCCAGCAGTCAAAGGAAAACGTACAGATTCAGCTTTGTTGGAAACGGGTGGACTGACGATTTGGAAACTCGGGCACTGCCTGAGGGCCCGGGGTCAGTAGGGGGCTCCATAAGATGCCCTGGTACCTTTTTTCATAGGCTTTTTTGAGTTTGGGCAAGGACACAGGGGCCCCATGATCCCCTATTGCCTGGGGGCCCCATGAGATACCCCTGGTACCTTTTTCATAGGCTTTTTTGAGTTTGGGCAAGGACACAGGGGCCCCATGATCCCCTATTGCCTGGGGGCCCCATGAGATGCCCCTTGTACCTTTTTCATAGGCTTTTTTGAGTTTGGGCAAGGACACAGGGGCCCCATGATCCCCTATTGCCCGGGTGCCCCATGAGTTGTCAGTCCGCCCCTGGTTGGAAACATAGAAGAGTGACAGGAAAAAAAAAAAAAAACAGACCAAGTCATCCAATCGAGTCTGCCATTTTCTTTTTGTTTAGTCTTTATTTTGTTTGTTTGTTTTTGTCTTTTAAACCACTTGAGCACCAGCCTGTGATACCCCTCCTGCCAATAGAAATCATGGAGCCCCGCACAGCCCCACCTTCACTGGACCACATTATTATTATACAGGATTTATAGAGCGCCAACAGTTTGCGCAGCGCTTTACAGTATAAGAGAGACAGTACAATTACAATACAGTTCAGTACAGAAGGAATAGGAGGGCCCGGCTCGTGGAGCTTACAATCTAAAGGAAGGGGGGGTGATACAAAAGGTGATAGCTGCGGGGGATGATCTGGTGGAGGTGATTCAAGTACAGTTCTTAGGTGGAGGTGGGGTAGGCTTCCCTGAAGAAGTGCGTTTTCAAAGATCGCCTAAAGGCAGACAGGGTGGGGGCTGACCGGACATACTGTGGAAGGGAGTTCCAGAAGATGGGAGAGGCTCTGGAGAAGTCCTGGAGGCGAGCGTGAGAGGAGGTGATGATGGAGCTAGAGAGGAAGATATCATGGGAGGAGCGGAGTGGACGATTTGGGCAATATCTGTGGATGAGGTTGGTGATGTAGCTGGGGGCAGTGTTGTGGATGGCATTGCAAGCTGTGGTTAGTATTTTGAATTTTATATATTGGGTTATTGGAAGCCAGTGGAGGGATTGACAGAGAGGGGTGGAGGACACTGAGAGGAGGTCAGTGGAGGGATTGGCAGAGAGGGGTGAAGGACACTGAGAGGAGGTCAGTGGAGGGATTGGTAGAGAGGGGTGGAGGACACTGAGAGGAGGCCAGTGGAGAGATTGGCAGAGAGGGGTGGAGGACTCTGAATGGAGGCCAGTGGAGAGATTGGCAGAGAGGGGTGGAGGACACTGAGAGAAGGCCAGTGGAGAGATTGGCAGAGAGGGGTGGAGGACACAGGAGGCAGTGAGAGGAGGCCAGTGAAGGGATTGGCAGAGAGGGGCAGCAGTCGCTGATCAGTTGGTAAGGTGGATGACTCTAGCAGCAGCATTCAATAGACTGAAGGGGGGATAGCCTGTGTAACGGTAGACCAGTGAGGAGGGAGTTGCAGTAATCGAGGTGGGATATATAACCAAGGCGTGGATAAGTTGTTTTGTGGTGTCATTGGTCAGGAAGGGGCGGATTTTGGAAATGTTCCGAAGGTTGAGGCGGCAGGATTTAGCCAGTGAGTGGATGTGGGGCCCAAAGGAGAGGTCAGAGTCTAGGATCACACCTAGCACCCTGGCATGAGGGGAAGGACCAATGGTTGTGCTGTTGATCTTAATGGTACCACATAAATGACATGACACCTAACAAGGTGGAGACATATATTATGGGGTTGGTTATGGGGCATCACAATTCACTTTGGAATGTTGACAGGATACTGTATAGGCAACAGAAGAAGGGGTGAAACCCAGAGACTGGGTGGAAAGGCTACCCATGAACGAAAACAAGAGAGAGATAGCATGAAATAAAGAAAGAGAGAGAGGATAAAGAGAGAGGATAGGGGGGGGGAGAGGGGGAAGCAAAAAGAAAGGAGAGAGGGGGAAGCAAAAAGAAAGAGAGAGAGAAAGGATAAAGAGAGAGAGAGGGGGTGAAGAAAAGAGAAAGAGAGAGGGGGAAGAAAGCGAAAAGAGAGAGGGAAAGAAAGCGAGTGAGAGAGAGAGAGAGATGGGGGGGGGGGATAAAAGAGGCTAAAGAGAGAGAGGGGGAAGAAAGAGAGAGGATAAAAGAGAGAGAGGATA